GACTCCTGTCTGATTATCAACTACATTGTATTGTTATATCTGATGTTTTCTTCAGCCAATAAAGAATTTGAAAAAAAAAAAAGAGCCGACGTTTGACACTGCAGCTGGCCTTGGCAACCTTTTTTTTAAAAGAAGATTAACTAGCAGGGCCAGAGTAAAAGGTAAGGACTCCATGAAGAAAACGCAAGAAAAATATAATAAAACAAATGTCACCATAAAAATGTAAACTGAGCCTACATTAAAAGTTAGCTTCAGTTGGCTGAACCTGGCTGACTGCTTTGAGTTCTGGCCCGATCTGCTACCTCATTTCTTTGGCAGTGTAGGTGGGTGCACAGAGTGGGTGGGCGATGTGGGTTGGTGCACAAAGTGGGTGTCAGTGTGGGTGGGTACGCAGAGTGATACGCCACTGCCTGGCTGTATATATTTTTGTTAGGCCAGTGCAGGGGTTAGGCGTATGTAAGTACAGTACAGTAGAATGTAATGAAGAGAGTCAAGAGTATATGAAGAGTACAGGGGTAAGATGTAAGTAACACACAGTACAGGGGTCAGCGGTAGTAAGGCAGAGTTCAGTAGCATGTTAAGTGCAGGTGTCAGGAGTAAGCAACGCAAAGTGCAGGGGTCAGTAGCCAGTAATGCAGAGTGCAGAGTTGAGTAGTAAGTAACGCAAATAGCAGGAGACAGGAGTAAGTAAGGCAGAATTCAGTAACATGTTGCACACAGTGCAGTGGACAGGAGAAAATAAGGCAGAGTGCAGAGTTGAGAAATAAGTAACACAGAATGCAGGGGTCAGTAGTTTGTAATGCAGAATTCAGGGTGCTGGGATCAGTAGCAACTATTGCAGAGTTCAGAGGTTAGTCTTATGTTAAGCAGAGGGCAGGGATCAGTAGTTTGTAATGCAGGTTTCAGGAGTAACTAACGCAGAGGGCAGGGGTCAGTAGTTGGTAATGCAGTTTGCAGACATGTCCCCTGTGCCCAGCCGCCAGTATCCCCCACATGCCAGCATTTACATGCCCTAGCTGGGGGTAATATTTCTTATTTCTACCCCTCCTCCCTCCTGCTGTCCCCCCACCCATATGCAGAGTGGCACAGCTTTGGGGAGACAACTAGGACACAGTAATAACATTAGGAAGGGTGGATGGAACCCTTGTGCGAACTAGGCATCCAACACTGAGAAGTGTGTTGGGTAAATAAATAATTCTTTTTTCACAATATTTTTATTAAAGGTTTTTATAAACAGGACTACAGATAATGGCAATCACAAAGCAAAAAAATTGAAGAAAGAACACTGCATTGAGCACCAAATAATGGAAAACACTATATGGAAGACATTCTGCTGCTGTGAATCTCCAAATGGATAGGTATACCAGCACTTAACAGGTAAACACACAGCAGGAGTCACCATAAAGGTATAACAAAAGGTTAGGTATTTAAAAATACACTCAAAGTATAAGGCCTAAAAATATGGCTTTAATCAGGTAGTGAGCAATGCCAGGGGAGAAAAAGGAAAGCCAAAAAAAAGAAGGCTGAATACAAGAATTAAGAGAAGAAAAGACTCAAGAGAAGGAATGAGAGAGCAAGAAATCTAGAGGAAGGCAATGAAGAAAGAAAAATAAAGGAAAAAGAAGAACAGGTGCATCGGGACCACACACAGATAGCAAAACAAAAGGTAGGCGGCCTGGAGTGTAAATAAGATTTCTCAGCAGTGTGATGAGAAAACATTAGTTTTGTATGCAGATTCACAAATTAAAGGAGAACTATGAGGTGAGTGATTGGAGTGGAGGAACGAACAGGGGAGGGGCGGGCATAGCTGGTTCTGCCTTTAGATAGGCAGAGCCCGCTGTCACTCACGCAGTTGGGCGGATCTCGATATATTGAGCTTTGGGGTCATGGGAGGAGGTTAGTACATGTCCTCCCGTGACCCTAAAGAGAACTATGGGGAAAAACACTTACCCCATAGTTCTCTTTTAAGTATTAACTGTGTTCTTTTACAAGCACTGCATTTTGTTTTGTTTATTTTGGATACTTGAAGCCATTGCATCAGTCATGTTGAAGCAATTGGGTCAGCGTTAAAGCCAGACACCTAGCCTTTTTCAAATTAGATGTCAACGATGGCAGCCTACTTTATGACATAGAAGTGCTATACAAAGACCATAAAACTTTCACAGTGCACATGCAGAAGTAAAGATCTTGGTGACACTTGGCATTCTAATCAGTGATTGTCTTTTAATTTTATAAAAAATATATGAACCACCAAATAATATGAGACACCTAAAATTTCAGTTTCCACAACATAATATACTAGGTATGGGAATTTTAAGGTGTCAAGTCAAGGATGAAGGAAGCTCAAATAGATTAAATCAAATATTACAAATTTATTGAAACATTCAAAATATACATATATATATATTTTAAAACCTAAAATAGAATTTACATCAGCAATGATTACGTAATTTAGGAGCAAAGCAGCAATGGTCTGTGAGTAAATCCAAATCAGACTAAGGTTTATTTGACACGCATGTGGGGAAAGGCCTTAGTCTGTCAGGCCAATTCCAACCCCACTCTAGTTCATTCAGCTTATAAAGGTCCACACATCAAGATAAAGATTAGGTTACGTAATTGTTCAGTTAACAAAACACATCCTGAATCAGCATTATTTGTTCCACAGGTATACATAGCAAGTGTCTGAGTGTAGATAAGCTAAAAACTGGTACAAATGAGGCGTTATCCCTGCAATGACTTTAAGATAGTGGCTAATACCCTACAGATAAAAGCTAACACCTTACCGTAGAAAAATGCCTTATCATATTACTTTTCACTAAAGATGTGTTTAAAACATGTTTTGTACGTAAGATGTTTTAAAGTCTATAACTGTATGTATTTAACATAATAAGATGTTTTAAAGTCTGTAACTGTATTTAGTATAGGAGTTTAACATTTTAAGATGTATAGAATTCTATAACTGTATTTAGTATGTGTATTTAACATAATATGTATAGGCCGTGATCGTATAGTGGAATGTCTTTAACCTGTCATATCATTTACTATTGGTAGTGTACCTTATCTTATACCATATTTACTAAACAATCTTACTTAGGAGATACATTTCATAATATGTTTCATTAAGCATAATATTACACTGACAAATGGAGTCTAAAAATGTAATTCAGCAAGGATTATCATTTATCCCTACACAGCAACAACTCCCTGTGTAACATTTTTTTCTGTACCACGGCATAGTACCTCCCTGGATCGCATCGATATATCATATTTACAGATAGATTAATGAACTCCTTAAACTTCAATGTCCTCATACTTGTTATTGAATACATTTTATCAACATAATTTGTATCAATCAGCCATACATAGATGTACGGTGGGTCCAGCCTTCTATGTGTTTCGCCAATGCTTCTTCAGTAAGATAGGAGGTCATCTATAATATGTTGCATAAGCTTAACATCTCAACTGATTATTTAGAATATTAAGGACATAATAGACAGAACAATGTATGTAAATAAGTTAATACTTTTTTCTGGGAATCTGATGGTAAGTAGATCCACAGTCCAGGGGGATTTCCCTCATCAGCCAGAAGACATAGGGAATACGGAACATAGGGGGCTAACAAGGCAGCAGGAACTTGATGAGCTTCCATAAGTACCTTTGTGAATTAAAGTGCAAAACATAATTATAGCATGTAAATCTATATATACTGGGGCCATGCCCCAATCAGGAAGACCGCCATAGAACACTACATACAACCCCCACATGGAAAAAATTTCATGGGTCTATATTATCCTATAAATATACTGATTAAAACTTAAATAATTAGTTACCAACTTAACATGTGTCAACTAGATCATGAATACATCTTAGTGTCCATGGGGTTAACATCAATACTCTCAATTCATACTAACAGATTAACTGTCCAAAACTCCCCCTGACCAAATATATTACTATTACTAAAACCACTCAAACCAGCCATAAAACAGAATGAATGCACACATACCTTAATAAAATTAGCCACAATATCAAGGTCTCCTCCAGCCAAACCACCTGTACTTCCTCTGTCGCTAACACATTTGCGCCGCACCATGACACACTGCCTATAACCTCCTGGCATGTGACGTGTGCAGCCAGGGCGGGCCAATGGTCTGTGCATGCGCCCGAACAAAAAAGCGCATGGAAAATTGAGGTTTCGCCCCATGACCATGGAGCCCCTCCCACCTTGGCTCCTCCAATCCCAGAGATGGCGCCAACCTACTCTGTTATTATATTACCTCATATTACTGCCTGTGGTGGGATGTATCCATGTCTCCATCACAGCAGAAAGGTGAAGAGTTATGAAAGAGCCAAGAACCTTTTCCCAGAGGGATGATATTTCCCACAGGAGAGGCAACGTCCCATCACAGACCATCAACCTAAAGAAGATGTATATTAGGGCTAGCCTGATAAGACATCATCCTGGATGGATGCGACAATCACCACCAGTCACAGAGATCAAATATCATTATAAGTTGTAATATCTTTAGAGACTTAATAATACTACATATTACCCAGAATATTTTAATTACAATACAAACATCATATGGCACTATTTTAGGTTTTAACATGTATATTTTATAATTTTCAATAAATGTGTGATATTTGATTTAATGTATTTGTGGTTCTTTCTTTCTTGACTTGACACCTTAACAGCCCCATACCTAGTATATTGTGTTGTTGAAAGTGATTGTCTTTTGGATGATGAGATTTTTCCATCTATGGTCACATTTGCTGTGTTGTGTTTTTTTTAACTCTAACTAAAGATATATGGTCTGGTCCAGAGAAGACAAATGTTTGCTTTTTCTTTTTAAAATCCATCAGTGCGCACATAATGTCAAAGTAGATATTTGAAAGTAGATTCTGGTGATGAAAGGGTTTCTGACAGTATTTAGCAATTGTCTTACATCTGGATTTAATAAAGACTGGAGAAAGGAACCGTGCAGAGTCAAAATCCCTCCTACAAAGAAATGTAGCCAGGAATTCCAGAGCTGTGAGCTGGAAGCAACGCAGGAGAGCACAACTGTGCCCAAACTCTTTTTCACTATTAGTAGGAGAACAGCCTTCTGGAATAAGAATTTCTTACAAATCAACCACGGAGGGAGCCAAAGATGGCTGGGATTGTGGCCTGCGTCCTCCTTTCCCTTGTCACCATGGTACATTCCCAAGTACAGACAGCATTTCTGGAATACATGCAATCAAGAATGGGATCTGTAGAGGTAAGTGGGACTAGTTCAATCAAATGTTGCTCTGTAGTATTCATACTATAATTCCAGTAACTGGACATTCTGATGTGTAAACTTTATTAACATATCTACTTTGTATATGAAAATGATCTACAAGGTTCTACAATTTATATTACACAAATTTACTAGATATGCTCTTTTCTTTGTTTTTTTATGAGACGTATTATGTGCTGCAGACATCAATACAAGTCATGTCGCATTGAAAGCTTAATTGTTGGTGACCCTGTTTCCCTTTAAAATTCCTAATTTCAGTAGAAAATTCCACTTTTTATTTTTTTTAAATATGTTTCTAGATGCCCGAGTGTTTAAACTGAAGTTTGCTTGGTTTGGCATAAAAATAACTTTCAGTAAATCACCACTATAGCCTTGAATTCCAACACACAAAACTGCTTGGTAGGGTAGTTAAAGGGAAAACCTGAGCATAGTTTTTCACAGACATATCAATGGTTAACTCAGCAAACCCTTTAACTGCAAATATCACTCTAAACAGGAAGAGGGTGGAAAATCAAAGTCCAGGGAAAGCAAGTTGTGTATCAGATTAGAGAATGTTTTAGAATATGTTAAAGTAAAATAGAAGTGGATGCAAAGCCATATAAAGGACCTAAAAACTGAAAATGAATGTGACATTTACCAAATATTCACTGTGGATGAATCTTCCTCATGCATGTGTTTTAAATTACAGGGAATAATTAACCAGTTGACATCCGCGGTGTTAAACCCCCTTCCCATCCAGGCCATTTTAGGATCTTTAGCAAAAAGTAAATTTGTGAGCAAGAATGTCTTTTTATTGCAGAAGAGACATACTATGTAGGCTTCTTAACTTCCACCTTGCATACATCTTTACTGAGTTTACTGAGCTGCTAATGTGCAGTCTAATGTAGACTACCGACATCTGGCAAGTGCTGGGATAAATAACATCCCAATGCGCATGCACGAATATTGATCATGCAGGCCTGGCCAATTTATGATGGCTGAAGGTCTGAAGAAGACTGAGGCTAGGTTCACACCTAGGCGATTGAGCTGGTTAGCTGTTTTTGCACAATTTTCGCGGGTTTTCGTTTGCGCAACTGTGCTTTCAATGCATAGAGATGTCTATGGGACCCAAACCGCGTGACAACTGCCCAAAAACAACTCTATGAACAGCCTCCATTGACTTCAATGAGCATCTGTGTTTTTCGAGATATCACAGTAGGTGTGAACTTAGCCTAATTGACAATGTCAGCACAGCGAGGGAGGTTGCGGACTATGCATGGCTGGAGCAGAGGTAGTTGCAAACTCTAGTTCTGCTTTAACCACCTGTGAATGTTTGATAAATGTGCACATTCACTCTTTAAAAAGATGCCCCTACATTTTACATTATCTGCAACATAAATATTTACCATAGCATGGTAATTACAACCTTTTTGTACATGTTAAATTTATGTTCACTGTTTCTTGAAGTCTCATTGCAAAAGTTTTTCACTGCAACAATATTAACTAAACTAAGACCACACAATATAGTACACACCAAATTCAGACATTATATGTAAAGACAAACTAAGGTTGTGTTCCAGAACAACCTTTGATATCAAGTGAGAAGATATGCCATGACAATGCCTGTTATGTATTCTGATGCTTAAAATGACACTAAACTCAAGAGTTAAATCTTAAAAATACATTCAAGTACCTTAACAATTAACAAAACTGTACATTTGTGAATCAGTCAGCTGTAGATTCTCAAATCATCTCTGAATTGGTGCCGACACTGTCCTTCCTTCTGGAGGGTGACTACTTTTCTTCCCCATGGTCCCTGTGTGTGTTGTAAAGTAGCCACTGCTCCAAGCTCACTCCTGTGATAGACTACAATTTCAATACAAATTAGTAAACTAAATGTGAGATTGTAGTCCATCACAGGAGTGATCTTGGAGTGGTGGTTACTTTACAACACACACAGGGACCATGGGGAACAAAATCAGCCACCCTCCAGAAGGAAGGACATTGTCAATATGAATTCAGAGATGATTTGGTGACCTACAGCTGAGTGATGCACAAATAAGGTACAGTTTTGTTAATTGCTAAGGTACTTGAATGTAATTTTAAGATTTATCTCCGGGGAGAATAATGACCATAAAGATGTAGGTAAGTCAGTGCTTTGGGATAACTTTCTGTTTACTTAGTCTCCAAACCCTGATGCTTCCTGTGATACTTTGTTCCCAGGAAAATGTGGGTGCCAGGTGGGGAAAGAAGATGACATGAAAATTGCTTCTTGTGTAGCATATTTAATAAAGGTTTATACTAATAGTTAAATAAAGATTAACATAAAATAACAACAGTAATAAAAGCATCAAAGTGTGTCAGAATAGGTACCACTTACTGTGTCTTTAGATTTCATCATCGTATCTTTCTGCTTACCTGGCATACCACTATTAGGACATTATAACATTTACAAACACCTGGGAACAAGTTATCGCAGGAAGACCAAAACTCCAGTGACTTGTAAGCATCAAAACATGGAGACTAAGAGAATGGGAGATTATCCCACAGCACTCTACTCTCTGATCTATATCAGTGCGCTCATGATGCTCAGATAAGTCGATGTACTTGTGAGTGCTTGGAGGAGGATCCGAATACATACTGTAATAGGGTTTGGTGCAGCATGTAAACAAGGTATTTGCTGTATGGACTTGGTATTGTTGTGGGTCTTAAAAGCTGCAGCCAGAAGACATAAAAAAAGGAGTGAGTGGACCTCAATGTTATACTTTATAAACATATAGACAGTAGAGAACATTTAGGACTTATTCACCCCTAAGTGTTGGTGTAACATTCCGTAAAGCAGTATATGTTAACGCAATAGTATACTATGATTGGCCTGTGGCATGATTCACAATTCCAAATGAATGGGCTGCTTCAATGTAGTGTGCTTCAATGCACAACAATGTGTGCATTAATGCAATGCATACTGTAAATGGGCCCTTAGTCAGCAGTAGTGATAAGACTGGGCTTGGTGTGAACCCAGTTCTCCAAGCCCACTCAAAACTGTGACTGCCACTCACGACCTAATCGATTGCGGGGAATGCCCCTGCTATAACTGCTGCCACTGATTGGCGATAGGGCAAACTGCTTTCTTTAAATGTGAAATGCATTAAACAAAATGCAACTATGTATACTATATTCAGCATGTAATCAACAAATGTCAAATGCATGGATTGCCAACTCTGCTTTCTAAAGTGGTTGATGTCTGTATGTTCTGACCTGTAAGAGAATTTATTTAATCCTCCAGACGATTTTTTTGTGTGAAAGAATTGGCTGCTGTGCACAGCTTCTCCACTGCCACCTCATTAGAGTGATGCAAGACAGAAAAACTTTCCCCCAGCAATTACTGTAAACGTCTGCTTCATCTGTTTATAGTATATGCCTTCATGGCAGTCTATGTGCTTGTGAGTTATAACTGTAGAGAAAAAGCATAACTATATTTATTAACACCATAGGCTATATACAGTATACATTTATATACAGTATATTAACCCCTTCATGACTGAGCTAGTTTTTAGTTTCTGTTCCTAAATGACTGACACACTTTTTACATTTTTGCTGTGTGATTCTTCCACAGCAGCAAGTTTTGATTATTATTATTATTTTTAGAATTTTTTTAATAATAATTATAGTATACAAATATATTTATATATAAACGTTTTATTTTCCTAATTTTTTGTACACTTTTTTTTTTTTTTACACTTTGTAAAAAAAATAAGTGTAAAAAAAAAATATTTTTTTTTTGTCAGTTTATATCAAGCAATCACTATGACTGCTTAATAAATTAACTTTTTACAATTTTTAGTTATTATCAGGCTGCTCCAAGCTTAGGAACAGCTAATAATAACTTTAGAGACTGATCCTGACAGCATGTCAGAATCAGATCTCACTAAAGGTCTTTGATCGTTCCTAGACGATCAGAAATGATACATTTCACTCGAGATACATTTGTATCTAGTGGTTGAAATGTATCATTTAACATCGGGCCAGGCTCTCCAGCTGTCAAAACGAATAGCAGAGAGGTGAGTCACTGCTACCTCTCTGCTATCTTCAGCTGTCAGATATGGGATCGCTATTTAGCGAACCCGTATCTGAATGTAAAGGCTTCATTCTTTCATTAATGAAAGAAAGAAGCTTTTAAAAAAGCTTAACTATTTCATTAATGAATGTCTCAATAGTGAGGCATTAATTAATGACTGGAACTGCTGAGAATCAGCAGTTACCAGCATTACAGAGGCTAATATAACTAGGCACGTACAGTGTACGTGGCCAGTCATATAGCCACTTTGTGACGGGACGTACACTGTACGTCTCCCGTCACGAAGGGGTTAAACATGTAAGCCAGCAAATAATGTTGTTCGTTGTGGTTCATTTCGTTGGATTTTTCGTCATTTATAATAAGGCAAAGATAAGGGCTTTTAAGGTATCAGAAACACCACTAATATAGAAGGACAATTTGATTGTGCATAATAAAACACTTAAAACAGTGATCTTTCCTTCATATTGGGGCATACAATCAAGACCTCCCTTATAAAGATACCAACAATATTGACAACCTTTCCAAAGACCATATAGGGGATTCTTCAGGAGGAGGGAAGAAGATACTCTGTTAGGTTGAGGTGACCGTTTGTTCTCAAATGTTGCTATGATCTCTACAACAGCAAGCTGGCAGCAGGAGATCATAGCAACATTCGAGAGCAAGGACCTCTGTGTACCTCAGCTCTTTTCTCCAAACGGCTGCCTAAACTGGTGACAACATTGCAGGGATTTCTCGTTTGGATTTTATAGATGCACTTCTTCCTTCAAATGGTCACCTCAACCTAACAGAGTATCTTCTTCCATCCTCCTGAAGAAGCTCCTATATTGGGTGCAAAACGCGTTGAGGAACATTGGCACCCCTGGATACCATGACATCATGATCATATTGCATTTTTTGGACTCTATATGGTCTTTGGATAAGT